CGTCTGCTCGTCCTGAGAGTTCCGGGCATCCTGCTTTCATCTCTGTAGTGCTAGGGCTACACATATCATGCTACAGTAGCCAGCATTTTTGGTTTTGTTGGGGTTTTTTTGGGGGGGTAGTTGAAACACAGGGTTTCTCTGTGTAGTCCTGGCTGTCCCGGAACTCATTCTGTAGACCAGGCTGGCCTCGAACTCACAGCTCGGCCCTCGAGGGCTGGGATGCACTACCACCACCGTTCAGCTTGCTATCAGGCTTCCTTCCTAAGAGATGTTATTTATTTTATGTCTGAGCGCTCTACCGGCATGTGCGCCTGCATGCCAGATGAGGGCGCCAGATTCCAGTCTAGATGGTTGTGAGCCACCATGTGGCTGAGCTGGGAATTGAACTCAGGACCTCTGGAGGAGCAGACTGAGTCATCCCGCCAGCCCACTACCCAGCTTTCAGCACAGGTTTTGAGGATCTGAACTCAGGTCTTCATGCTTGCATGGCAAACACTTTACCAGCTGGGCCATTTTTTCCTGGCCTCCAGCTCCTGATCCTCCCGCCTCCGTCTCCTCAGCACTGGGATTACCGACAACTGCTACCTGGGCCTTTGTGCAGGCCTTTGTGCATGCTAGGCAAGCACCCTGCCAGCTGAGCTATGTGTCCAGCTCCCGAGTTCTGTTCAGTCATTTGCAGTACTCTTCTGCTGTGGAACTCACAGCCAGGGTGACAGGCTGGGCTGGTTTCCCCCCTGAAGGGAGCGCCATTCAGGTAGAGAGCATTTGGGTACCAAGAGAGGGGGTCCTATGAAGAGCTGGGCGTGGAACAGCAAACACTGCTTCCATAGAGGAGGAAACAGGGAAACGGGCCTGATGGAGCTTGATTGGCCTGATGAAAATTGAGGTGAAATGGAAGAAGTGCGCAGTGGGGCTGGGGCGCCTGTGTGTTAGGTGAGGGCAGGGAGAAGCAGGAAAGAGCTGTTGGGGTGGGCGCTGTCTGTGGTAGGGAAAGGCGCACGGTGGTCCCTGAGCCGAAGACCTACTTGTATACAGCAAGATAGATGGCCAGGTTGGCTGCAGAATTTGAACCCAATCTAGAGCCTTGATGATTTTTTTCTTTGAGTCAGGGTTTTTCTGTGTGAGCTTGAGGCCAGCCTGTTCCAGGACAGACAAGACTACATAGCAAGACCCTGTCTCAAAATAACAAAAACAAAACAACAACAAAAATCCTAGGAATGTCTGCATAAAATCAGTGAATCTACCAATATCAATTTTATGGGTTTTTTTGTTGTTGTTGTTGTTGTTGTTTTTTGAGATGAGGTCTCATGAAACCTAGACTGGCCTTCAGCTTACTCTGAAGCAGAGGCTGACCTTTGATCTCTTGGTCAGCCTCCCACACTCTAGGATCACAGGCAGGTGGCACCAGTCTAGTTATAACAGGGTTAAACAGCAGCAATTTAAGCCGGCACATTAAATACGACACTTTCATACGACACAGCACAGGGATTTGTTCATCTATGGACCCCGCTGCTCGCACATTGCCAGTATAGTTGCTGGGTGTGTGTGTGTGTGTGTGTGTGTGTGTGTGCGCGCGCGCATGCGTGTGTGAATGTGGGAGCCTGTGTACCCTTATACGTGTTCAGCGATTACCGTATTGGCTCACGCCTGGAATCCCAGCATCTGGGAAGTGGACACAGGAGGACTGCTTCAAGTTTAGGGTCAGCCTGGGCTCCATAGCAAACTCCGGGACAGCCTGCGTTAACAGGATAAGACTTTGTCTCAAAATCAAACAAAACAGAAAGATAAAAATGGATGCAGGAAAGCTGGGCATTGTGGCACACACCTGTGATCCCAGCACTTGGGAGGCAGAGGAAGGCGGACGTCTGTGAGATCAAGGCCAGCCTGGTCTACAAATCAAGTCCAGGAGAGCCAAGGCTACACAGAGAAACCTGTCTTGAAAAACAGAAACAACAACAACAAAAAATGGATGCAGGGAGAGAGGGAAGGGGAGAGGAGAGGAAAGGAGAGAAGAAAGGAGAGAGGAAGGAAAGAAAAAAATGAGCTGAGCAATGGTTCAGCGCTCAGGCCCAGGCAGGAAGACGGGCTGAGAGCCAGCCTGGGTGTGTGACACTCAACAGCCCACACCGGGCGGCTCTGTGGCTGTTTTCTCTGTGCTTGCCTAGATGAGACTGTCGGTCCATCCCAGCACCACACGGTGCAGGGAGGAGGGTCAGGGATTCTGGGCCACCCTCGACCACATAGCAACTTCAAGTGTGGGCTGGAATACATGAGTTCCAACCTCTAACTGAAAAGAAGAGAGGGAGGGAAGGAGGGAGGGAGGAAGAGAAGGCAGAGGAAACATGGACCCTTAGGGCAGCCACCAGGGCAGGAAGGACCATCGCCTAGGAAAAGCTGAAGGGACCTCCTGGAGGAGGTGGCGCCCGGGCTGCTCTGAGCGAGGAGGCAGCGCGAGCTGAACACTTGCTCTTCATTTGCCATCTCTCCTCCCTTGACGTGGCCCCGTGTGTCCTTTGCAGTCTTCTGTGACTTCCGCCTCGGTGACCTGCGTGAGGTCCGGGTCGTCCCTGAAGACGCCGGAGGCCGAGATGCTGCGGGAGGTGTACCTGGTGCTCTGGGTCATCCGCAAGCAGCTGCGAGAGCTGGCCCGCAGGCAGGAGCGCCGCCACAGGCGCCGCATGCGCTCGCACGCCTCGCACACTTCCCGCCACTCCGACCCGGTGCAGGGCCTCAAACAGGACGCCCGCAGCTCCCTGTAGGCGGGGAGCCCCACGTCCTTAGGAGCCCCCACCTCGCTTGCTAGGAGGGCGACAGGAAGGGCGCGGGGGCCGCCGGGCCAGAGCTGCTCCACCGGAGACGCTTGACCACACTGTCGCCTCTTACGCGAAGCCCGAGGCGGGGCCTAGGGTCGAACATACTCCCCTTCTCCGTGTTTATCCAATTTGTAAGGCAAAACAAATTATCTAAATGTTGAGAAATAAACACCATGTTTCTGAGATGTAGTCTGTGCTCGTGAGGGAGACAGGCGGTCAGGGGAGTTGGCCGGGCTGGGGCTGGGCCCTCGGGGTATGTGTGTGGAGAGAAACAGGAGGAACCTGAGGTGGCTTTTTGCATGTCAGAGGTGGACAGGATCTGTCTCCTCCACCTACTCCCGGGAGTAATCTTGCCTTGCGCTGCGCTGCCTGGTCAGTAACCATGGCAACAGCATCCATTCACGGAGCATCAGCTTTGGCCACTGGGTGGCGCCCTGGCCTCTCTAGCAATTCCATAAGGTAAGGACTCATCCAAGGCCCTCCAGCTAAGGACGTGTGTGTGTGGGGGGGGGGGGGGGGGGGGGGGGGGGGGGGTGTGTGCACGCGCGCGCGCGTGTTGCAGCAATCGGCTCTCCACGCGGAGCACAGGGGTGGAACACAGGCTGTCAGCTTTGAGGGGCACTTTCACCCGGTAGGTATGTGCAGCCCAGGCTGGGCTCAAGCTCAGCATGCAGCCTGCACTGAAGAAGGACCTTGGCTGGTCCCTCGCCTCAGTGTCTTGTGTGCTGTGATGACGAGGGTGTGATAGCTGGGAAGCCTTGGTTGGGGATGCCCATGCCTGAGCCCTCTGCTGGGAAGAGAGTTGGCCCCACTGCCTGGGGCCTGCCGATGGGTGGCAGTGATGTTCCCCAGGTTGTCTGGAAAGCCGTGGGCTCTGAGCAAGGCTGGGAAGGATGAAGGTCAGGGTGGGCTGAGGAGGCCACGGAGGAGCTATGGCTCTTTAGCTGAGACGGGGGACTGTCTGTGGAGGAGGTGCACGGTCGTTGGGAGGGAGGCTGTGTGTACCTGAGGTGATGAGGGGGCGTGCTGGGTCCCAGTCCTGTCCCACCGCCCCTTCACAGGCAGAGGGAGCTCCCCAAGGAAACAGCTAGAAATGGGGCTTGAGAGTCCTTAGGGCTCGGGTTGACAGCCAGGCTTGAAGCTTAGAGAGCAGAGAGCTCTTTGATTAGAAGAGGGGAGAAGGGAGAAGAGGGGAGGTGGGGGAGAGAGGGAGGCGGGGAGGAGAGGGGAAGTGGGGAAGACGGGGAGGAGAGGGAAGGAGGGGAGACAGGGAAGGGCAGGCAGCTGATCTGGGCGATGGCCCTGGAAGTCACAGGCTGGGGCTGCCGCGCAGAGCCCTTAGCTGGCATGCACAAAGCCCAGTACTGCGCAAGCTGGGTAAGGCAGCACGTGACTGTAATCCCAGCGCTAGCGAGGTGGGGAAGTCTGCAGCTCAAGGTCGCCCTCAGCTACCTCACGAGGACTTGAGTTGGCAGCCCCAGCACCGTGAAAATGCCAGGCACAGGGGCACATATCGGCCAGTCAGCCTAGCGGGATGGGTAAGCTGCTTTGCCAGAGACCCCGTTTCACAAAATACGGCGGAGGGCCAGTGAGATGGCTCAGCGGTGAAGGCAGCTCCCACTGAGCCAGCCAACCTTGGCATAATTCCTGGGACCCACAGGACGGGAGGAGGGAGGAGAAATGGCCCTCACAGCGCTGTGAAAAGCTGTCCTCTGACTTCCAGACGTATATGCTTTGTGCGTGCTGACACACACACAGTGTAAAAAAGACTTTAATGTGGGGAACAGCTGAGGGAGACCTCGTCCCTGGCTTTCATCCACACACAGGGAAGTTACTTGTGAGTTGCACCTTGTGCCCTGACAGCAAGGGGCAGTAAAGAGCAGCAAGCAAGGATTGAGAGACTCAATTTACCAGAAAACTCACGCTCAAGCCTAGAGGTTCTCAACTTGTGGGTCTCGACCCCTTCCACAGGGGTCACCTGAGACCATCAGGAAACAGGTATTTGCATTACGGTCCATAACAGTAGCAAGCCTAGACAGGAAGACGCAGCAGAAATGACTTCCTGGTGGGGTCACCACAGCATGGGGAACTGCCCTAGAGTGCAGCCTCTGGAAAGTTTGGAACCGAGGCTCGCCCGGACATGCCCTGGGCATTTGTGGTGTTGGAGATGGAATCCGGCGCCTGGCGCATGTCAGCCGAAGGCAGGCGCTTTACCCTGAGCTGTGCCCCCAAGCCCTCCAGCTGCCCCCTTCCAACACGCGTGCATGTACGCGCGTGTAAGGACCGTGTACAAGGGAGAGCCTGCAGACGCAGCGCTCACTCTGGTGTCGTCCGCAGCGTCTCCCCACCGTGTTTTTTCTGGACGGGGTTCTCGCTGGGACCCGGGGCTGGCCAGCTGTCGAGGGACCCACCTGCCTCTGTTCCCCCAGAACTGGGATTACCAATGTCTGTGCGCACAGCCAGGTTTTCCTGTGCTGAACTCAGGTTTTCATGACTGTGCAGGCACTTACCCACTCTCTCTCCAGCCACCCAGCCACCCAAACACACACCCACACACACGCTTTGACCACGTGTGTGCCTGGTGCCTGAGGTAGATCCCCTGGCACTGGAGTTACAGACGGTTGTGAGCTGCCACAGGCGTGCTAGAGTCAAATCCAAAGCCTGTGACTACTGGGCCGTCTCTCCAGCCCCATTCCTTCTTAAAGACAGAATCTCACTGTGTAGCTCAGGCTAGCCTTTTACTCTCAATCCTCCTGCCTCAGCCTTCTTCGCGATGAGAGTGTAGTAGAGATTACACACCTGGGGTCCTGTCACATTACATTTTCAGACCAGGTCTCACTAAACTGCTCAGGCTGGCCGCAACCCCCCCCCCCCCCCCCCCCCCCAACCGCCCACCCCCCCCCCCCCCCCCCCCCCCCCCCACCGCAAACAAGGATGACCCTGCCCTCCTTCCCCACCCTGTGAGAGTCCACATGCGTGCTGTTTTTGTTTGCTGATGTGGCTTAGTGTGGTGTTGGGGACCAAACCCGGGGCTCTGTGTGTGCTAGGACAAGTGCTTTACCAACTGAAGGTGGACCCTGACCCTGACCCTGACTCTTGACACCCGAGGTCCCCAGTGAAGACGACGTGGTGAGCTGAGCCTGGCTCGCACACAGAGGACGGCTCCAAACTCCGGTCCCCGGCTGCGCCACAGCCAGCCTGGTTGGTAGCACAGCCCTGTAATTTCAGCTATTCCAGAGGCTGAGGCAAGGGGCTCCGAGACCAGAGAGAGGGAGGAAGGGAGAGAAACAGAGACAGTTTCAGAGTGCACACGGAGGGTCCAAAAGGGCACAGGCAGGCCCCGACAGCCACTGGCAAACCACCAGGCAGGTACCCACAGGCCCAACACCTGGTTTGGGCCGGAGGCTGTGGCCTAATGGAAAAGAACGCCATCCTCATTGGCCCTTCAGCATCACGTGGGAGGCAGCTACAGGAAGGCGCCTTCAGCCAGCGCGCAGCCGCGGGAGCCTTCTGCACAGCTCTCCCGGCTTCCTCGGCTCAGCTCGTCTGAGCCCGGAGCTGTGGCAGCAGGCTTGGGCGAGGGAAGGAGGTGGGCATGGAGGGACCCGGTGCGTAGAGCTTGCTTCTCCTCCCTCCACCCGTTCGGCCTGCACTGTGACCCGCCCCGGAAGGATCCAGTGAGCTATCGGAGGAGGGGCTGGCCAACAGGGACTCCTGTTGGTGGGAAGAGACAGATGACAGAGAAAGGAAGCTGCCTGTCTAATGCTCCTCTCCCCACCCCTTCTCCTCCACTTCTTTAGCTTTAGCTGGCCTGGAACTCGCTCTGTAGAACGAGCTTGAGCCCACATAGATCCGCCTGCCTCTGCCTCCCAAGCGCTGGGTTAAAGATGGCACGCCGCCACCGCCAGGCCAGCACTTAAATTAACTAAAACTTTATGTGTGTGTTTGAGAGCAGGCCTCTTGTAGCCCAGGCTGGCCTTGAACTCTCTATGTAGCCGAGGATGGCCTTGAACTCCCTATCCTGCCTCCACCTCCCAACTGCTGGGATTAGAGACACATGCCACCATGCCTGCCTCTTAAGAGCTGTGCTGGGCACTGAACCCCAGGCCTCATGCATGCTACCCAAGCACGTTATCAACGGAGCTACTCTCTAGTCTTCCCCATTCCTCTTCAGCACGGTCTCATATGTACCCCAGGCTGGGTGCAGACTCACGCTCTCTTCAGCGTCCTGGCTGCCAGGCACAGGCATACACCGCTACACCTGAACACTTCAAATCCTGTGATCCCGTAATCCATTCACCTCTTCCTGGCAGGTCTGTCTAAGCTAAGACCCTGCTACACTGCCTTCTTCAGATGGGGTAGGCCCCGCTCATGGCTCTCTTGGCGGGCGTCTGGCATGTAGGCTGCTGGTTGGACATTCTTGAGAGTGTAAACTTACAGGCACTGTTTTTAAACTATTTTATTTGGGTTTCTTAGGCCTCTGCTTCCTTTCCAACCACCCCGCCCCAACCCTAGGTAGGAAAGAAGAAGGTTAGAAGGGAAAGGGGCGTAGACATCTTTAGAATCAGTTCCCGCTGGTTAGGGTCGTCCTGTTCTTTGAGAAAAGACCAATCTTGGTGGTCAGCGTGTCCAGCAACAGCAAGCACAGCAGGACAGACAAGCAGGCTTCTTCCTCCATCCGTCTTCTCGAAGCCCTCTGTTCTCTTAGGGCATATCCTCGTAGAGTCCTCAGAATCCCAAGACCACGCCTTCTCTGAGTCACATGAGCCCATTACCTGGTGGCATAGAACACGCCCTGCACAGGGCAGTTATCAGCTGTGGACAAACCAAGGCAGTGCCATATCCCACACTTGGGATTAAAACAAAAGCATACTTAAAACATAACTAAGTTTTTACAGAAACCAAAACTTCCACTGCAGAACCTGTCAGCGGCTTTCTGTCACTAGTTCCAGGGAATCTGTTAGCACGCACACACAAGTACACACAGAGAACAGTAACTAGGGGGGGTGTGTGGCAATCACCTAGAAGGCCGGCTTTCAGAAGGCTGAAGGAGGAATACAAGTCACAAGTTCAAGGCCAGTGTGAGCTGTGTAGCAGGGTGCTTGAAGTGGGGAAAGGAGGAGGGGTCAGGAGGCTGTGTGTGTGTTCCAGACAGTAGTTACCACGTGAGACCCTGTTAGAGCCACAGCGTGAGATGGTGAGATGGCTCAGCAGGTAGACGCTTGTCACCAAGGCTGACAACTGGAGTGTGATCTGAGTTTGACCAGATGGTGAAAGGAGACACCCCCCCCACACACACACACGTAATAAACGTTTTTAAATAGGGGCCAGCCGGGCCAGCCAGAAATACATAATGGTTCCTTGTCTATCTCTCATTCCCTCTCCCCTCTTTTATTTTGGCTTTTCCAGAAAAGGGTTTCTCTGTGTAGCCCTGGCTCTCCTAGGCTGGGCTTGAATCCAGAGGCCCACTTGCCTGTATCTCCTGAGTGCTGGGATTGAAGGTGTGAACCGCCTGGCTTCATACCCAGTTTTTAAAGCTAGCATCACCAGCTCGCAAAGATGCTGACACCGCCTTACACAAAAACTTCTAGATGACCTTCGTTCGTCCCGGCAACTAAGCCGTCAACCCCAGACCAACACAGGTCTGGCTCTTAACATCATGGCCCAATCCTTCCAAACTGTGCATTGAAAAATGTCCCCTTGACCTGGGCATGGTGACACAAGCCTGTAATTTCAGGATGTCTTGGGGGTAGAGGCAGGAGGATCAGGAGTTCAAGGCCATAGTAGTGACACAGAAAGGTTAAGATCAGCCAGAAATGCAGGAGACACTGTCAAAAACGAAACAACAAAACAAAACAACCCTCCCCCCCCAAACCCAGAAGCCCCGGAAGCTGTTGAAAGCAACCGGATGCGTGAGCTAGTTCCCTGTTCCCAGCCTGTTTTCCCGTGTGTAGGACAGGGCAGGGATGGCCTGAAGCTTCAGAGGGCACCACAGCTTAACAGGGCTGTGGTGACCTAGCACACGTGAGGGTTCTGTCCCGGGACCACAAGGCCCAGGCACCCCAAGTCTCTCTTAGAGCCCAAGCCAGGTTTGAATTTGTGACCTCCCTGCCTCAGTCTCCCTGCTGGGGTTACATGAGTGATCTCATCCTGCCTTCCCCCGGGGCCCCTTTCTGAGCAGCCCACCGTATTCCAATACTTCCTCGGGTGTGGATATGCACCAGAGAGGCGAGCCTTTTGGGCCACGGTTCCTGTCCTATCTTCTCTGCCCATAGCAGGGAGCTGGGGCTGGGGTGGAGCCAGGGTTGGCCTGCAGGAGGTCGTACAAGACCAGGCGGTAGGGGCTGGAGCCTGGACAGACTGGGAACCTTGTCCCGGAACACACGGGGGCCATTTGTGTGCCAGAATTCTCACACCGTCTTGGTCCGCTGCAGACACAGTACAGGGGCGGGATGGTGCAAAGGACGCGCGGGGCGGAGAGAGAAGTGTGGACAGGGGGACGCACAGAGGGACCAGCTCAAACCCACCCTCGGTTGCCACCTTTTTTTTGTTATTGCGAAAGTGCGCTCCACTGAGCTACAACACATCCACCCTCCCACCCAGCCCCTTTACATTTTAACTTATTTTCATTTTATTTGAGTGGATGTGGTCTAGCTATGAGTGTGTGTAAATCAGAGGACAACCTCCCGGAGCTGGTGTTCTCCTTCTGCTGTGGGTTCCCAGGAAGGAATTCAGGTTGCCAAGTGTGGCAGCCCCTTTGCTCACCATCCTGCCATCTCTCACTGAGGTGTCTTATAAAAAAGGGTGGGGAGTGAAATTCACTGTTATCAAATACGCTCTGTATTATATAATGCACACACATATGCTTTAGGAGGCCCTCCTAATACATCACTCATCGCCACCTCGTGTGTCTGACCTAACATCTTTGAAAGTGTCAGGTGAGTGCTCTTTAGGGAAGTTCAAAGGGCTGCCCCCAACGTGAAGGCTAAGAACGTTATTGGATCGCTCCCGAGGTCTGGGGCAGAGAGAGCCTTTCTGCTGCAGCCCGCCTACCTACCTGCCCTACCTGCCGGTCCCACCCAGGCATTTGAGAAATACCCTGATTTATGACTTTCTTTGTTCTTGCTAATGTAAAAACTTTACGACTCTGTCACACACTGGGATGTGGGCTCTGGGGTAGGCTACTTCGTTTCTGTTTTGGTTTCAGAATAACGCATCTTATTTCCTTTAAGGTTAGAGTGTGTTTTGCATTAAGGGGAGACCCCTTTAGTCACAGGTTTATTCAAGCGCACATGACACGTGCCAGTCAGCTGCTCTCACGGGCGGCAGCACTAGCTATTGTTTTTCTCTTAATGTATATGTGTGCAGTGAGTTGCTCCTTGCATGTGTGTGTCACGGTCAGAAATGAATAGCAGGAGGCTTCCCTTAGCTCTGCCCACCTTATTCAGTCAGGCAGGGACCCAGTGTGAGCCTGAACTCAGTGTTTTGGCTAGGCTGGCCACCCGACAGCACCGAGGTTCTGGTTCTTACAGAGATGTGGACAATCAGAACTCAGATTCTTTTTTATTTCCATTTTAAAGGAGACAGGGTTTCTCTGTGTAGCCCTCACTGCCCTGGACTTGCTCTTGAGCTCAGAGATATGCCTGCCTCTGCCTCTGGGCTGAAATGGGAAGGTGTTGGCCACCACTGCCCCTGCTTGAACTCAGGTTCTGTGCTTTCGTACCTTACCCTGAGCCATCTCCCGTGTTCCTGCCATGCCCATGTTCCTGCCACCCCCTGTGTGCCAGCCTGTTTCTTTTGGGGAGCTGCGGGGGGGGGGCATTACTGATAAACTTCGTGGAAGATACATAGGGAACCCTTTAACACAAACTCTATGGCTAGTTTCACGCTTGCTTCCTGCCACTGCAGGAAGAGACGTAGCCTCCAGAGACTCTTCAACTTCTTAAGGCCATCTAGATCCTGGATGGAGGGGAACAGAAGCTTTGTTTCTCGCTGAAGAGCCACAGAACCAGGCAATGTTGTAACTTTCTTCACCTCATAAGGGAATAAAATGTGAAGAATTTAAAAAGTATATCTTTGCTGGGTGTGGTGGCACACACCTTTGATTCTAGCACTTGGAGGCAGAGGCAAGAGGATTTCTGTGAGTTTGAGGCTAGCCAGGTCTACAAACTGAATTCCAGGTCTGGCAGAGATGCATAGTGAGACAGACCCTGTTTCAAACAAACAAACAATTAATACAGAAGGTTTTTACTCTCATGCTGTCTCCCTAACTCTTCCCTTAGCCCTTTTTAGCCCAGGCTGGTTTAAACTCCCTGTGTAACTGAGGACAACCTTGAATTCCAGATTCTCCTGTGCTGCCTCCCAAATGCTGGGATTACAGGCTTGCACCACCTGCTATTCTTTTATTGCTTCTGAAAAGTGTAAAAGGAACCACACATTATCTATCCTTTCAGATTGGCAAAGGCTACCATCCACTCTGGTTGCTGAACCGTATCAATAATTTGTTCTCCATTATTGCTAAGTACTATTTTATGGTGTTTATGGACCACAGTTTATCTGTTGAAGGACACTTCTAGTTTGGGCCTGTGAATAAAGGAGTGTGAAAATGTGTGTGCAGTTTCCAATTGTCCGAGGATATGGAACCAGAGTCACATTTTTTGAGTTTTAGTTAACGGGAATTCTTACAGCCCAGGATGTTCACCAAGGCACTATGGAGCCAAGACTGTCCTGAGTCTGCCTTTCTCCTTCCAACTCCCAGGCTGTCATTGCTTCTAAGGTGCGCGCGCGTGCGTGTGTGTCTAGGATGTGAATTTTATTTAGTCTGCGTGTACTTGTGAATTACAGGGCAACTGTGGGCGTCAGTTCTCTCCCTCCACGCACTGTTCGGCTTGGTGGCAATCGCCTTTAACCTCTGCCAGCCTCCGGGATATGGACTTACAATTAGGATAGTGGCCTGGTGGTGGCGGCTCACACCTTTAAGCCCAGCTCTCGGGAGGCAGAGGCAGGCCGATCTTTTTGAGTTTGAGGCCAGCCTGGTCTGCAGAGTGAGTTCCAGGATAGTCAAGGCTACACAGAGAAGCCCTGTCTCTAAAAACCAAAACCACGCCCCACAAATTAAGGTAATACTCCGTAAATCCCCCTAGCATTTCCTACTCAAACCCCGGAATCCAGGGATTCCGCAAGGAGCGCGCTTCCGCGTGCAGGGAAGCTTCTCTAGGCGTTCCGTTCCGACGTGACCCGAACCTGCAGGAACGCTGGGCGGCACCTCGCACGGCGTCTAGGGGCGAATGCAGCGAGCGTTTTGTTACAGTAGAGAGGACTAACACTTAGCCCCCAGAACAAACGCCGAGAAGCGCCTGGCAGGCGAGGTCGCCATGTCCGCGTTCGCGACAGGAAGAGTCGCCTGGACGGGAACCCGTAGGGCACCTAGGGCGCCGTCGCTCTAACGCTCCGCCTTCAGGGCGAAGTCAGCGTGTGAGGGCGGAAGTGGGGCCGGAAGCTGGAGGGCGGAGCGACGGGAGCGACGTCCAGGCGCGCCAATGGAGTGGCGCGGCGGGCTTGCTGTCCGTCGGTGAGGGCTAACGGTTTCCGGGAGCGGTAGCCCCCCGAGGGGTGGAGAGAGGAGGCGAAGCGGCGTCCCGAAACCCCGGACCCCGCGGCCGCTGCGACATGATGGGCTACGGGGCGTCCTCCTCGGAGTCCACGGAGGGCGAGGAGGCCGTGGAGGCCCCGGGGCCGCCTCCGGAGCCGCGAGCCCCGGAGCCGCGAGCCCCGGAGCCCGAGCCCGGCTTGGACTTGAGCCTGAGCCCGAGCCCGCTGCCCGAGAGTCCGAAGCGGCGGGACGGCGGCCCGGGGCGGCGGAAGGGGCGGCGGGGCGGCAGCCGGAGGGGGCGGCAGGTGAGCGGCGGCGAGGCCCGGCCC